ATATTTTATATATTTTTAGATAATAAAAAGATGAAAAAAAACCTACTATTACTACACAACGTAACATAGTACAACACCTTCAAATTAAATCAAAATATCAATTAAACTAAATAAAATTAATGTGACCTTAACAAAATGATGTAGGGTAATAATCATACCCTCAATTATGTTATTGAGTTGCCAAGTTTCCAATTTTGTTTTTCTTTTTCAATGCATATAATTTCTCATTTGTGAATTATATTCACTTTCAAGGAATGGGAGGTACCTACTGTCAACATTGAAGGGAACTACCACAAAAGGTTTTTTTTCTTTACCCCTTCATTGGAAATTTGAAGTTTCGTTGTAATATCCTTTAGTATTTACACAAATATTACGAAGGATGAGGAGCTTGACTCGTAATTTCAATCGAATGTTATTATGATTATTAATATTGTTAAGGTTATGAAAATTTTAGTTTTTTTATTAATCATGATGTATGAAAATATCAATTTATTAATTAATTTTAATATATTAATTAATCAATATTAATTATTTTATTAATTAATAATTATAATGATAATTATTTTTATTAATTAAATTAAAAATTAATAATATTAGAAACCATATTTTAAAATTTTAGTAATTAAAACGTAATTATTAGTGATTATAATCGGCGCCACAATTTCAACTAAGCAATATTTTTGTTGGGCAAAAGAACAACACAAATGTTTAATAACACTATCTACTTTTTTCTATTGCTTTTACCGCCAAAAACTTAACAATATTTAATCAAAACTTGTTAGTATTGTAACTTTTTTTTTCCATTAATAAAATACCAACTATAGGTTTTCACAACAAATTTCCAAGATTTTGGAAAACCTGTTGCAAAAAAAAAAAAAAAATACACTCCTATCTATATATACGATACATTATAAATAAACTCAATCTATTTCAACACCCACAAAATTCTAATCAAACCTCGATTATATTATCCTTCCAACCAATTTCTTTGTTTTCAAATTAATACAGTACTGGATTGTTGCTTCATTCCGGTAACGAGATGTCCTCCATTCCCATCTTGCTTCTTACCCAGCGGGAAGATCGGATTTGAATCAATTAGAACAATTTGTCTTCTTGAGTCTCCTTGTTCTGAAAAATGAAAATAATCTCATTTTTTACCAATTATAAAATCTATCAACGACCTATTAATTTGAGTAGAAAAAATTCAGTTTTTTTTAACCAAGGTTTAAAATGCTAAAAAAGGTTCTTTTTATGGGATCCGATGCAACTTAATTCCAAATTAATCGAGATCCAATATAATTACCACATATCAAAAAGTTAATATACAAAAAAAAAAAAAAAAAAACAACCATAAAGTCCACATCATAGCAAATCAAATCATAAGCCAACCTCTATTTATTTTCGTATCATCAATGGCGAAGGCCTTGACTTACAACATTGACCTGGATAGCAAAGAGTAAAGATCTTAACTTACAACATTGACGTGGATAGCAAAGAGCAAAGAACATGACTTACAACTTGGATATGGACAACAAAAACCAAGACCCTAAACATGTATGTTATTCAGTTGCCAAGTTTTTCTTTTTTTATTTTTTTTCAATGCATATAATTTACCATTTGTGAAATTTTATTTACATTGAAGACATGGGATATACCAAATGTCAGCATTGAAGGGGAATACCACAAACGGTCCTTAGTTTCTTTACACGTACTCATCATCTGAAGTTTGGAACGTACATTGTAATAGCCTAAAGCATTTGCCCAAATATTACGAAGGACAAAGACCTTGACTAGCAATTTTAACTAGCAATATTTTTCTTGGGCAAAAAGAAAAATACAAATAGCTTGTTATATAAAAATATTATCTATTTATTATCATTTAATACTTTTGTGTCAGAAACAAAAAATAAAAAATTCAGAGTGAAGAGAAATTAATATTTACCTGATGAAATATTATATAGTTGAGCTT